TGTGTTTGGTGAGAGTGTGTGTGTGTTTGGTGAGAGTGTGTGTGTGTTTGGTGAGAGTGTGTGTTTGGTGAGAGTCTGTGTTTGTTTGGTGAGAGTGTGTGTTTGGTGAGAGTGTGTGTTTGGTGAGTGTGTGTGTGTTTGGTGAGAGTGTGTGTGTGTTTGGTGAGAGTGTGTGTGTGTTTGGTGAGAGTGTGTGTTTGGTGAGAGTGTGTGTTTGGTGAGAGTGTGTGTTTGGTGAGAGTGTGTGTTTGGTGAGAGTGTGTGTGTGTTTGGTGAGGTGTGTGTTTGGGAGAGTGAGTGTGTGTGTGTTTGGTGAGAGTGTGTGTTTGGTGAGAGTGTGTGTGTGTTTGATGAGAGTGTGTGTTTGGTGAGAGTGTGTGTTTGGTGAGAGTGTGTGTGTGTTTGGTGAGAGTGTGTGTTTGGTGAGAGTGTGTGTTTGGTGAGAGTGTGTGTGTGTTTGGTGAGAGTGTGTGTTTGGTGAGAGTGTGTGTTTGGTGAGAGTGTGTGTTTGGTGAGAGTGTGTGTTGTGAGGCTGAATCACTTCATGTGTCCTCCCCCTCTGCATCTCCCCCTTTATATCTCCCCCTCACATCCCATTCTTCACTCAGCGGCTGTCTCGCAGGCATTACATGATATTGCCCTTCAATAAGAACGACCACTGAAAGGCTGTAGCTGCCTATAACCAACGTGTCACAGCAGAAATGTGATTTCCTCTAATGAGATCCTGCGTCACGGGGATGAACCGGAGCCGAGCGAGGCGGCTGAGGACACAGACGGATGACTCCCAGTTAGAGAGGGAGCTTTCCTTAAAGAGAGAGCTGATGCAGTGTGTGTCTCCTGAGAGTGAGCTCTTGAGGAAACATTGAGTGATCATAGTCATGTGGAATTTGGCCAGGGTGGCTTGAAATTAGATTGACATATGTTTTTATTTGGTTCCATGGATACAATTCAACTCTATTTAATGAACACTTGTGATGTTGATGTTTTTTGAAATTCAGTACATTTTGAGGTAATCCCACCCATCTCCTATTTTGGGGGCTTGTCAGGGATTTGAACCCGGGACCTATCAGCTCCCAAACTGCAGATGTTGGTAGATTTTATTGTGGTTCTGGGTTGGGACCCCCTTCTTACGGAGGGAGTGAGATGTCTCTCCCATGTCAGCGGGGCCTATTCTTTTCTTATTCAGTTGAGTAAATCCCATCTTTCTCCTATTTTGGAAGTTCGTCCGGGATTTGAACCCGGACCTATTACCCACGTAAACTTCAGATGTTGCTAGATGTGATTGTTTATCTGGGTTGGGAACCCCTTTTTACGGAGGGAGTGTGATGGAACTTTTTTTTTGAAATTCTGTAAAAGTTGAGGAAATCCCATCCATCTCCTATTTTGGGGATTCGTCCGGGATTTGGAACCCAAACCTTTCACCACCTAAACGTCAGATGTCGATAGATTTTATTGTGGTTCTGGGACCCCCTTTTTACGGAGGGTGTGTGATGGCACTCCCAGTTCAGCAGGGCCTATCTTATTTAAATTCGGTACATTTTGAGAATAATCCACACTCTCCCATTCTTTGCTATCACAAACTGGGCGCTCGGCCGTGATTTGAACCCTTCACCTATAAACAAGTTAACATCAGACATCGCTAATTTGAATGTGGTTCTTGGATTGGGACCCCTTTTTAATGCAGGGAGTGTCAGAGGTACAGTGTTGAAAGGGGAAGATACATTTCCTGAAATTGTCCGCTGGCTCGGGAGTCGAACTCTAAAGCCTGAGCTGTCCAGCTGCCGGAAGTTGGCACTTTCTTTTAAGCGGATCAGGTCTTTCTCCCATTCTTTGTCATTAACAATTGGGGGTGGTCAGGGATTTGAACCTGGGACCTATCACCATGTAAACTTCAGATGTCACTAAATGTGATTCTGGGGTGGGACCCCCTTTTCTATAGAGGGGATGCGATGGCCCTCTGATGTTAGCAGGACCACCTTTTTTTGATTTGGTAGATTTTGTTTATTTTGTCAATGTTCCTCGAGTCGTTGATGTGGACTACTGAAATCTGTAAAACTAAAAGTCATGTTTTCAAAACAAGTGTCCCCTTAAAATGAAGATTAAGAATGACGTTAAATCGATTTTACATTAAGCTGGGTTCAGCTTGTTTCAGGTTGAACCCAGTGTTGTGTTATACTGTATATTGCAGGCTTTACAACTGCAACCCCCTCATTTACCTTTTCTGATTCCTTGACCCCCCACCCACCTTTCTTTCTTCATACCTCCCTGCCCTCCTCATCCTCCCCTCTTCAGACTACACCTACTTCTACAAGGGCAAGGAGTACTGGAAGTTCGACAACCAGAAGCTGACGGTGGAGCCCGGATACCCGAAGTCCATCCTGCGAGACTGGATGGGCTGCGATCAGTCGGACATGGAGCGCTCTGGCAGCAAAGGGAACCGCGGAGACCGCCATCTGCCGCTTGACGACGTGGACATCATGGTGACCATCAACGACGTCCCGACGACGGTCAACGCCATCGCCGTGGTGATCCCGTGCATCCTGTCGCTATGCATCCTGGTGCTGGTGTACACCATATTTCAGTTCAAAAACAAAGGAGTGCAGCAGAGCACCATTACGCAGCACTACTACAAATACCCTGTTCAGGAGTGGGTGTGACTTTGACGAGGTCATGGATTAAAGAAGACCGTTGGCTAGCTCATGTTGGCTTTAGGCCAGGATCGCTAGCAACAAAAACAATGGAAAGTCAACGCTGAAAGACGCTAATTGTGCTAGCTTGTGATGAACAGGCGGACACTGTAGGGTTAGACATCGATCAGTCTTAGAGAGAAGTCCGTGCCTGTCTTGTGACACAAGTGTAAAGTGGCAAGTTGTCCGATTATGACTTTTTCCCGTTCCTCAGCGGGGAAGGGAGCGAGCGAAGTCCACGGAGACTCCTGGAGGATCTGATTGGATAAGGACAGGAAACACACCTCTCTTTAAGTGAAACGGGGTCTCATCAGGACTTTGACTTCTCGGACCTGAAACACAACTCTCCTTCTCAGTGGAAAAAAAATAACAACGAGGATTCGGGGCGGAAAGAATACGCTCCTTGAAGCACCTCCAAGTTTGTTCCAACAACAACTTGTACGCGTGAACTACTTCCACTTAACGACAAGAAAATAAAGAATAAAATATCAAACTTGAAGAAAACATGTAGGTAGAAAGGCCATATAAGAAAAACAAAAAAAACACGGATCTCTCTCTTGATCTTTTAATTTAATTTGTATTTATTTCTACTTGTATGGACCTGCAACGTTGTGAAAGAGGACCTTCTTCTCTCTTCACGTTACTCAACAAAACAACATCTTTCTCAGCATTAACTAAAGGATTTGTCAACTTTAAACTGCCCTGCTTTGATTTTCCCAGCATCGACTGAAGGACTTCTGGATTTGGAGAACAGCGAGTCGTCAGCATATTGATAGAAAAGATGAATGACACTTTAACAGCCTTATCTCTGTCTCCAAACATATGTGCGCATATTTAACAAGATGAACGCAAACCAGGGCTCGTATTTATCAAACTTATAAGTGACTGAAGCAAAGATTATTCTGTGTGTGCATGGATTGGATATTAATGCGTAAGGCAGGTGTACAAACAACAACAAAACTAATTGTATTTATTTTGTATCTTTAACTTTGGAATTGAATTTTGGATTTTTTTTTTTTTTTACCATTTAAGCCAATTTCCTAATAATCGATCTCTTTTTACATACTTCAAACATATTAAAATGCTTGTTTACAGATTGTTATATATTTTATTAATTGATACCTGTGATTTTGGACTTTTAAATTACACATTTTGCACTTACTATTAAAGCAATTTTCTAATAAATGAACAGTGTGACATATATGAGGTTACACCTTCAGTCTGATGTAATTAAGCTTCCCTTATGTTACACTTTACTACTTGATAAATGTCTCTCACACTTAAAATAACTTTGAGTTTTAAGTGTAATTCTTAGAGGTTTGGTAAATACGGGCCCTGACAGAGCTACAGTAGGTGTTTTGATCCTTGTGGTTGTATTCCTCTCTGCTCCTGCATGTGAGGGGATTCGAGGGGGGGTGCACAGAGGACACATGTGGCTCTGAATTAGTATGCAGTCTGCAGCAAGGAGACGTCGACCGAGCTTAATGAAGTACTTCTGTTCCCAAAGCTCTGACAGGGGCTCCTCGTCCTCCGTCTCTTCTCACCGTCCATCTGTCTTTGTCCCACGTCATGATTTAATAAGTGCTTTAATTGTTTGTTGAAACTAAGGAGCTTGTAATTTGCCTCCAGTTTTCATCAAAAAGTGCCAAAATGTCTTGTCTTTGGCTCTCGATACTCCACCTTTGCCTCTCAGAAGGATTTGTTGACACTTTTTAAACACGCCTTGTTGTATTTCTGTACTTAGGATCATTAGATATGTTTAAAGGGAACAGGAATGTTTAAAAGGTGCTGGTTGTTTCTGTGAGCAAGGAATTTAATTTACAGGGATTTAAGAACTTCAATCTGGTAGCATTTGGAGAAACTATGTGAACGAAGACAATGTGATTCTGACATGTCGACATGGAGGCGTGGTGACAGTGGGAGGCGTTGGGTAGACAGTGGGAGGCGTTAGGTTACAATCCAGTTAACAAAAAGTACTTAAGTTTAAGTATTTGATACAAACGAGAGTTAGAATACTCTATTTTATTTCGTTTGGGATGAGAGTAAAGTTGCGTGAGACTGACGAAAGGCAACGACGAGGGGATAGG